GTAGTAAAATATTAATAATAATAATCTGTAATAATAATCTGTAATAATAATCTGTAGTAAAATATAAATGATCTTTAAATGATGGTTGTGCTAGATTGACTGTGATTGATCCTAGTTACTCTTAAGTCTTAGTCTCTTCCTAGAGATCAGTATTGATGTTTCATCTCTGGCAGGTACTTTTCAACCATTTCTCATGCATAAAGTCATGTCTTCACAAATGCCTTCAAAGCTAAATACTGTCATTATTGTTCCCGTCTCTTAGATACAGAAAGTACAGGACAAACAAGTTGAAGAATTAATCAAAGTATCAGCTAAGCACCAGAGTCTGTAGCCTTGTCTTCTCCATGAAGACATTCAGGAGATGATAGAGTGCCCCTTGTTTGTATGAGGCACTCCCCCTGATAATTTCATGCTAGAGCCTGAGCTGTTTTTCTACTTACAGAAACCCTTGATTCCAAGGCAGAGGGTGAAGAGAAAAGGTGGACAGAGAAAGAAATGTATATGTGTACATGAGACCAGCTGCTAGGATCTGGGAATTCTAAACACTAGAAACCTAGCTAGCTAGCAGTCACCCTTTCCCACTGGTCCTAGGATTTGCACTAAGCTTCCTAAGAGTATAGTATCTTTACTTCTTTGATGGGCATAGGAAGCCTCATTACTCACCCACGTTTCTTCCTCTACTTACCACTTCTTCCAGGTAGAAGCATTTTGGGTTACGGACTATTTGCCTATTCTGGTGAGTTGAGGGAAAGAACTGGAGGGGAAATATGTCATAGAAGTAGAGACAAGGAAAGTTGGAAATGAGGGAAAATTGACTGTAACAAATAACCGAAATGTTTTGATATACAGAAGGATGCAGAGGGCTGGCTGGAAACTGAGAGGTAATACTCTGTATTTCCATTGGCAAGCCAGATATCTGCCCTTGCTCTAACAGTGAACTCCTTTTTTGAATTTTCCATGTTCTCCCACTTTCCTGCTTCAAGTTCATTGTAAGTTGAAGGAGAGGAAACTCACTATTTTAAGCCAAACACTCCATTGGTCTCTAGAAACCTGAGAGAAAAGAGAGAGACTCACTATCTCCATTATCAGATGGGGACTCTGTGACTGTGATGGGCTATAAAATGTATCCAGAAAGTCAGAAGAGAAGTAGGCAGGCTTTGAAGATAGTGCCTCATCCATACTGTTCTCCTTTTTATCAGTAGTACCCTTAGCATTTAGGTAGATTCCTATGCATCCCTAAACCCAAACTATTGCTTAAAAGTTATGAATCTTTTGCAAATATTGTAGAAAAGAAGCAATACATACTACTCAATGCTCTCCAGATAAGGACTACATGAGAAAAGGTACTGCAAAGATATGGATGGATGGATGGATGGATGGATGGATGGATGGATGGATGGATATAGAAATATAGAAAAAGAAATAGACCTTAAGGACTGGGAAGATTGTGATACTGGCAAGCCTGAATGTGAGAGCAAGCATGCAGCTGAGCTGAAGAAAGGATCTCTTACAGCCCTGAGACAACAACCTTCTTTTCTAGAAAAGATTGGGTATGTTTGTTGTGATGTCTTAAAATGTATCTATTTGCCTTGTTTGGTGGTAAGTAGCAGAAACCATTCAAGAATGTAATTAAAGTAAAGACAAATCAAAGGGTGAATATCTCTTATGGAATTGAAATAGAATTGGAAAACACGTGCAGAGATACCAGAGTTAAAGTGAGCAGGTCTCTGCATCTCTGCAGCAGAAGTTCAAAAACCTACAGAGCCCCAACAATGCAAATCAGCTACTTGGTCTCCCAGACTCTGTTTCTGTACAGATAACCACTGGAATTATTTACTTCGTTGAGTGCCTTCCCCTATATAATATATCCTAAGTAGGGGTTCATGAAGGGTAGCCCAAGCTCTGAGAACTACTGCTATCTATAGGACCCATATAAAAGAGAATTATTTTTGAGCAAAACATTTTTAAAAATGGCATTTAGGGTAGCTGCAAGTGGGGGCCAAGAGCTCAGTGAGTAAAGGTGCTTTCTGAGAAAGCTTGAGGATATGAATTTTATTCAAGAATCAACATGAAAACACTGAATGTAGTAGTGCTTGCTTGTAATCCCAGCTCTAGGGATGCAGAAGCAAGTGAGTCCCTGGAGCTTGTTGACTTAACCTAATTGGCAAGCTTCAATTCCCAATAAAAGACAATATCTTCAAAAACAAGGTGGAACAGACCACATGAATCTCATGAAGAAGGAAGACCAAAGTGTGGGTGCTTCGGTCCTTCTTAGAAGGAGTAACAAAATACTCATGGAGCAAATATGGAGGCAAAGTGTAGGGCAGAAACTGAAGTAGGGGTCATCTGGAGACTGTTCCACCTGGGGATCCATCCCATGTGCAATCACCAAAGGTAGACGCTGTTGTGGATGCCAGGAAATGCATGCTGACAGGAGCCTGATACAGCTGTCTCCTTAGAGGTCTGCGAAAGCCTGACATATACAGAGGTGGATGCTCACAGCTAACCATTGAACTGATCATGGGGTTCCCAATAGAGGAGCTAGAGAGAAGACTGAAGGAGCTGAAGGGGTTTGTGGCCCCATAAGGAGAGCAACAATACCAACCAACCAGAGCTCCCAGGATCTAATCCACCAGTCTGGGAGCACATAGGGAGGGACCCATGGCTCTAGCTGTATATGAAGGAGAGAATGGTCTTGTTGGGCATAGGTGGGAGAGGAAGTCCTTGGTCCAGTGAAGGCTGGATGCCCAGTGTGGGGCGGTGGGAGGGGGGCACATCCTCATAGAAGCAGGAGGAGGGGGGGGGATGGGATAGGGGGTTCCTGGGTGAGGGGGCAATGGGGAAAAGGGATAACATCTGATATGTAAATAAAATATCCAAATAAATAAATAAATGAATAAAACAAGGTAGAAGATGAAATGACACTCTGAGGGTGACCCTATACTACAAATAATGCACCACCGCACATGTAGCAATATTGCATGTGGATAGCTGTGATTCTAACAGTATTTAGGGCTTATGTAGAGAACCCAATTTTTATATATTCTATATGGGTAAATACCATGAGCCCTTCATAGTTTAGCCCTCCCCACCTCCTACTCTATTTTTATATAATTTATATCCTAAAATAAGCACTCACAGATTCAATCTTACCCCCAATTTAGAGATCTTTATCCTCAGACTTTTAGCATATTGAGCCATGTAAGCACAGTTTAGACAGTCTGCGGCTGGCTGGCTCTATCTCTCTGTAGCTGGCATATGATGGATAGATGCACAGTGACTGTTGAATGAGATGCAATCTCCCCTAACATCTTTCCCATGCCCCATAGTCCCTGGGTCCCAAGAATATTTTTATATGTAGACTTTTATCTCTTATTCCAAGTAGATAAGTGTGTATCTTTTCTAGGAGGAAGAGAAGGGTCCAACACTGTATCTAATGTAGGTTTAATATAAACCTGACTCTAGATATCTGACCACAGAGGAATGGTATCCATTTGACATCACTGTACAGAGAAACAGGAAAGAATAATATAGGCCAGGACAGACTTGGCTCACACCCATGGCTCTCAGACTGGCTGAGTATAGTTTGCAGGCATCTACAGTCATCCTTAACAAACTTCTGTAGTAGCACTGTGGGACTATGAATTACTATAATTAATTATAATTATAAAGGCTCAACTATAATCATATTTGGGGGTTCCAAACTGAGCTTCCATGCCACCTCTCGCCACCTCTTACCCATCCACCAAGACTGACTAACAATGGTTTCAGAAATCTATCCTTATCTATCCTGGTCCATACTTTTCTTAATCATTAATTAATATAGTCTTGATTGTGTGTGACTCAGATTGTGCCTCTCTTCTACTCTACATTGGCCCAGGTGAACACAGTGACTAACAAAGAATATGGCTTCTCTTTGAACATTATCCCTGTGGTCCCTGCTTAGGTACATGCTCTGAGATTCAATAAGTGAATTTGCTTCATATGGCTATGAAAGTTGCTTCTTTCAGAAGTGTCTGCTATTCCCTCAAGCCTTCCAAACTGGTTTTTTTTTTATTGTAGAGATAGACAAAGAAGGTCCATGATTGCATCAAGATCCTAAAGTCAGTGTTGTGACTAGAAAGCCTGATGAAGTGCTAAGATAATAGCCAAAAGAGATGACAGTGTATCAGGCCACAGGGTAATGACAGCCTTGCACATGATATCTGCTTATACTATTTGCCTGTCCCCTGCCAGGTTCACTACTTGGCATGATAATGCCTCACTTATCACATCTCCTGGAAGCAAACATTATCACTATTCTGTGCAGGTGGCACCTGAAGTAGCAAGAAGCTCGATTTCTTGGCCAGGACAATACTCAAAGTGGCATTGCCAGGATTTAAATACAGTCTGTATTTCTTAAAAGCTTAGTGCTATGTTGCCATCTTTGAGCCTTTCTCCTTTTCTAAGAGACAGTATCTAAGCTGCAACCCAACAGTCCAAACACGGGTGGTCAGAAACCAGGAGATAGATCCTGAGGAACAGAAGACTGGGTAGGAGTGATTGAAGTTGGAGGATTCCAAGTAATCCATCAGACTCCGGACTTACCTGGCTAGGTGCTGGCTATCTGTGGAGTGGGTTTCTACCTACTCTGTGGGATTATGATATAGGCCATTTCTGAGGTTGATGGGTCATGGTTGGTCGTTCCTCTCAGTGGCTTCATATCACTGGTCTTCTATGCCCTGACCTATAGGACAGGTAGACATAAGTCTTTTTATACTGCCCTGCTTGGTTCTTGGCTCTGATATTAGCACACTCTGTAGTTTTGTGGAAAGTAGACCCAGCCTGTATATCTACCCTGATGTTCTGTTGGTCAGCCATGGTAACCTGTCAGTTCCTCTGTTGTTGCCTGTAAGGGATTTAAACAGTTGCTTAGCCTCCCTGGGCTGACCATCAGCTATCTTCAAAAGGAAGGGACTGACATCAAAGGTACTCTTTATCTCTGTCTACCTCTCTTTTAGGAAGTCTGTCATCCAGCTTGACCTTGCCAATACCAAGAAAGCAATGATTGTCCCAGCATTTGAGACACTGCGCTACCGACTCTCTTTCCCCAAGTCAAAAGCAGAACTGCTGTCAATGTTGGACATGGGGACCCTATTCACATTCAGGTGAGTGACCCTCATAGCTGTCATCTGGGGTCCCAGAACACCTAGATGTCAAAGCTGTTGACAAAGAGGTCAGTTGGTTGTATTAATTTACTATAAAACCAAAGAAAGATATTCAGGCCATTGTCCTTGGGACTCTTGTCTATTGTCCTTTCCTAGCATGTTATTTGCTTTGCTTTATACATGGATGGTAGGCACTATGTCCAGATGGAAAGAGAGGCCTGCTGTGGCAAACAAACAGGGCCCTGTCACACTCCGTTGGCTCAGAATTCTGCCTTTGGTATATACATAGCAGTGTTCTCTGGAGGAAAAAAAAATGATAGAATGAATACATATTTATAATGAATTTATTAGAGTACTTTGGACAATACAATCAGATTGGTTCAACAGTGGAGAATCAAGAATTTGGTAGTTGGCACTCCAGGAGGCTGAGTACAATACCAATCTGATGCCAAGGACCTGTTAGAGTCTTGCTCTTCAGCATACATTGAATGCCTTGTAAACTCTGGTTCTCATATCATAGAGGAGCTGTTGATAGCAGCAGCAAAAGGATATATAAATTTGTCAGTAAAAGAGAAAATCCAGTGAGCAGAATTTTTTGTCTTCCAAGTCTGGCCATTGTGAGAAGCTGTCACATTTAGAGTAGGTGTTCCATATCAATTAAGGCAATCAAGACAATCCCCACAGGACATCCCATGAACCAACCCAATGTATACAATCCCTCATTGAGACATTCTTGTATCAAGTTGACAATTAAAACCATGACATACACATTAATTCTCTTGCTGAGTGGGATTTACTCTGAGATCCCTTGCAGGGATCTGTTTCCTTTTTTGTGTGTGTATGTAGTCTAATCTCTCAGCTCTTAGGGCATGGAACAGGGATATATAGTCATCATCTGCAACTAAAGTCGCCATATAAAGTCATTGATGGGACTCCAAAGTTGCACACGACTGATGTAAGAGCCAACTGCCCAGTGATAGCTACAACCAAAACCATTGGTTTTCTCAATCCGAAACCCCAGTGCCTCCAAGGATATTCAGGGAGCTATGCTGTCCAGAATGTCTCAGAACTCATCTGCACAGTATTAATGAGCTCCAGACTCTAACATTAACTGTTGCCATCAGGACTAGGGAAGTAGGAATCCTGCTAATTCCTTTCAGATGAGGCAATATGAACGGAACCATTGCATCTTTATATTTTATGGGGAGTTGAGAGTATCTGGTGGAGCCAGGACTCAATCATCAGCACTCTAGAGAGAAACCTAGAAGAATTCCTCTCCCCAAACCCAAGCCATCCCTTTCTACTTCCCATAAATTGCATGCTTTGTATGGACCAGGCACAAACATAAAGTGAATTCCTTTCTTTCTGCAGCAGAAACACTGATGTGAGTAATGAAATAATCTGCTCAGTGACACATGGCTGATAAATGTCAGAACCTGAGGAACCACCAGGCCTGACTTCTTAAGTGAAATAGCATTGGGCTGCTGACAAGTCCTTGATTTTCAAATCAGTTCTTGTTTGAAAATACAGAATCACAAATCAGTGCTGGAAATTAAGATTTGGAGTCAATCTTTTCTCTGAGTCTCCCACAGTTACTGTGGAATACCTACTGAGCCAAATACCTATCAAATGTCCAAGGTGTTCTTTCTGCTACCCCAGGTGATATGAGAACTCATTTCAAGGCCATATCTCTAGGAATGAGTGGTGGGACATAGCCTGCTGTATCCATAACTACTATTCTGGCCAGCAGCTTGTAAGCCACCATACCAAGTGCTAAATTACAGACTTTCCCTCTGAGAAAATGCTTTTGTCACCTGCTCTCCAAAGAAACGTACTCTTCACCACATCTGGCATGAGAAGCTTCAATACCCCTCTGCATCCTCCAGGAACATGGTGCTTAGAGTATGTATGGCCCCTGGACTGATAGTATCATGTTGTTTGGGACCTTCTTGTAAATATAGCCTCAGATCTCATCCTGGACCATAAACTCTGGCGTTAAAAGTAGTCCTTCACATGGCTCAGTCACATATCAAGTTTGAAGACACTGCTCAGAGAGCTTGAAGTTGTCTGGTATGGCTAGACCCTGTGGCCCATTGTCTGCTGGACCAACAGTAGACAGAAGGTTTCCTAGGCAGTCTTTAGTTTGTGCTGTAAGTGTGTGTATTGAGTTTGTTGTAGTAACTTCACTGCTTTCTCTTCTGCTCAGCTATTTGTCATGCTGTCAGCAGGCCAGACTGAGTAAATGGAAACAGCCTCTCTAACCAGATTGAGTGATTTGTGAGAATTCACTTCATGTTAAAAATTGATATTATTATCTCTTGCTTTACCAGGAGAAAGAAACAAGGCTGTTAACCTGTCCACACCTGCTAAACAAAAGGATGCAAATCTAGGCAGGCTATCAGTAGCCATTTTTAGAAAACATCTTGTTTAACTGTCTAGTAAGGAAACAGCATTTGTGGGATGTTTCCTGTGTGCTACCCCTGTGCCAATGTTTCTGCCATTGTCTTGCTTAAGCTCCTGGGCAGTTTTTCATGATAGGTATGATCTTTCCTAGCTCACATGAGAAGAAACTATTAAGAACTTGATTGTTCAGGGTCTGCTGTTCATAAGTGGTAGAAGTGAGATTTGAACCCTGACCCATTGGCCCTACTTTGCTATGCTTGGAACCAACTATGAATTCCCAGTCATCACTTTTGGCATGCCTATTTTGTCAAAGGTACCATGTATCAAAGCTGCCTGTTCAGCAAATTCTCAAATAGAAAATCAATTGTTCCATGGTCTAGTTTTTTGGATTAGACCTATTACTGACATCTTACAATATCCTTTCCAAGCTCCATTGAAGTAATACTCTCCCTACCCTTTCCATTTAAATAACTGGCTTTGCTGGACACTACTTCATTGATTGTATTGAATCTCAGTTCGCCACCTATGCCCAGCCTGCCTGTCCTACCCAGCAACACATTAAGTCTGTTGGGTTGAGTTTGTGATGGTCTGGCAGAAATCCAGTCTCTTTGATGGAATGGGAGTTTTAGGTAAGAGTTTTAGCCATGCCGCTGGAACGCTACCTGCCATGTACTTGCTTTCACAGCCTTGTTTGCTTTACAAGCTGTCCCCAGCCTATCTGGGATTCATTACTATTTGCAACTCAGTATCAGGATAATTTTTAGAATTTAAAACAGTAAGCATCTGCAGCATTTAAAACCATCCTAACACATAGTAAATACCTAACAACTACAATTTCCTTAGAGAAACCCACTAACCCTCTCTTCTGCAGCTAAGCTATTAGGTCCTACCCTTCCTTTCTTCCTTTTGTTTCATGAAGCCTTTCTGTCTACACCAAGATACCATCTTTCCTGATCCCTTTCTGTTATCTTCAACTGTGCCTTCATTTCATTCCCTGCACTCACCTTCCCCATTACTTGCAGTGACAACATCCCACTCTACTCACTGCTCTCCTTCTCTTTCTGACACCTCACAAGTTTTAGATTCATCCACTCATTTTTCCAATGTACTTTCCTCATATCATAAAACTGAATACACCAATAAGATCAGAGCACCAACCTAGTGCTGATGGAGGAGAAAGCCATGGATCTTTAAGCTAAAAAGAAAGCATTGAGATGAGGTGGGAAGAGGGATTTAAAAGGGATTGTGGTGCATTCAGGAACAGAGTCCTAATCTGCCAGTCTTTCTGCCTCATCCCTTGCTCCTTCTACCCTTGTATGCATGTTCAAGACAGTAGCACACAAGCTGGCACTTGAGCTATACTACCTAGGATTTATTACTATTTGCAACTGAGCATCAGGATCATTTTTAGAATTTAAAAATATATGCATATACACAATTTAAAATCATCCCAACACAGAGTAAATGCCCAACAAGTACAACCTCCAAATCATTATATAGTTCATTTCTCACTGATAGATAACAAAGTAGCATCAACCTCAATTTTCACTAACTTCAAGGACCTGCTTAGTAATCTGTATATCTAAAAAAAAAAAAAATCCACTCTTGCCTCATAATATAATATAATATAATCAGAGGAGTATCCTACTCCTAAAGACTGCCCCATCATTAAGGATTGAGCAGGATTACCAGTGGGTCCTGGTAGGAAATACAAGATATAGATTTCTTGGAAATGATGGCAAGTGCTCAGAAGTTCATTGATCTTTCTATGGAGTCTTCTCATTAGTGACAGATAACTCTGAGGGACTGCATTAGTTTCCTGGGGCTGTAACAAAATACTATAAAATAGGTGTCTTAACACACAGTTGAATATTATTTAACAATTTTGCAAGTCAGAAGTCCAAATTAAAGGTCCTAGTAGGTCCATGATTTTCTAAAGGCTCAAGGAAAGATCCTTTCTGCTTTTGTTCTTGGTGATTGCCAGCAGTCCTTGTTTCCTGATGGGTCCATCATTCTAGCTCTGTCTGAATCTGCACATGGTTTACTCATGAGTAACTTGAGTATACTTATAAAGATCCTATTCCCTACCCGGTCCCATTTACAAGCACTAAAAGTTTGAACTTGAATTAGGATTTTGCAGGGACATAGTAATCTCACCAAGAAGACCATATCAACATATATTTCTTCTTCCTCTTCATCACCAGGGTTGGGAAAATTCAGCTTGCATCCCTTCACTCAATGGCTTTTCTCTACATGTCCCAGGTATCACGTATGGACTAAAGGCCACGCACCTACAAACTTTGCCAAGTGGCGGACTGCCACCACGCCTTACCAGGTTGAGTGGGAGGCTGATTTTGAGCCATATGTTGTTGTGAGACGAGACTGCCCTGAGTATGATCGAAGATTTGTGGGATTTGGCTGGAACAAAGTGGCTCACATCATGGAATTGGATGCACAGGTGAGAACAAAACACCAGCCTGGTCCTATGTTGGGAAGGAGAGATATACAGATATCAGAGCTGAAAAAGTACCTTAGAGACAAGATTCAAAAGAACCTTCAGAGAAACAAGATGTGTTGAGGAACTAACATGTAAATCTGTTTTCTGGGCTTTCAACCTCAAACCTTTGCTCTCCCCTTGCATAGGAACTAGTTCCTGGCCAGGATCATGCAAATGTGAGCTTCCACCCTCCTCCATCTGGTGAAGAAAATAAGCACAGGATTACTAGTTATGACTGGACTCCAAATTGTATAATTGTCTCACTTTACATGGCACAAAACATGCCACTAAAATGTTACTAATTATTCTGCCCTTCAATTAAAACAGCAGTGATTTTTTTAGACTATGTTCCATCTGAAAGCCTTCATTCATTTACACAATACTTACCAAACATCTACTTCAGAAGTCTGCGGAATTATAATAGGTTAAGCTGGGTACTGTACACTTTTGAAACAGACCAGATGGTAAAGCTTTGTGAGACTTCCAAGTCACCCTACTCAGCTCTGCCACTGTTGTTCCTCCACAGATGTTCTCTAAACAAATGTTCATGGCTAGCTTTCACTACCACTTCATTTATACAACTGAAGAAAACCAGACAGGCTGTAGTTTGTCAACCCCATTTGCTACTCATGAGAGACATGTTTCCTTGAGTCTGAGCCATCCCAAGTGACTAAGAACCTCTAATATTGGTAGATTTTGTGGAACAGTATCCATGTTGAGCAAAACAAAACATGATATCCATCCATTGGTACCCATGTCATGACTAATATACCTGCTTACAGACTATGAGTCCTAGTCTACCGTTGTTGCTACCAGCAAAAACAGTGGTACTTCTGGGTCCAACAGTGTTGTGTAGTGACCATCCTGTCACAAAGGCCTAGCCTTTGTTTTAGACTCACAGAGATTTTGCAAATGGACCATATACTTTCCTGTATTTGCCTATAGCACTCATCAGACACAGTCTTATCCATTCATTCCAGTGACTGAATGAATGATAGGGACTGATGAATGAAGTAGCCCACTCTATCCCTGTGTAAAATGCCCAGACAGGTGGGCCTTAGGGTCTTGCATGTTCTCCTGATTGTTTGTACTTAACTGTCAGCTGCTGTCCTCTGCCTGCTGCATCTGCCTGTCCTGTCCTTGGTTTGTCTTGCTGAGTATATTTATCCTTGTCTGCTCTGGGCTGAGAAAGTAGATGGCATGAATCCAAATTGAGTAAGGATATAGACTGTGCATGTGCTGGGTTCTATCTTTATTACACATCCTAAATTTGTGTTCACTGTTTTAGCTGTTCAGAGGTGTTATGTATTTGCCTGTATCCTGCCATGTCAAGCATATTCTATAACGCCATCACTTATAAGAAGCTGGGGAAATTTTTATCATTCTTAAGTGTCAATATAGCTAAAAATTTTAATTTTTTATTTTGGTATTTTATTTACATAATTATTTATATGACTATTTTTAAAACAGGATCTTATACTATAGCTTAGACTGGTCTGAAACTTGCTATGTAGCCCAAGTTGTCCTGGAATTCGTGGCAGTCTTCTCATGTAGTCTTTCTAAGTGCTAGGTTATAGACCTGAGCCACCATGTTGAGCTTTAACATTTGCTCTTTTCCTTGCCTTTTATTTTTGTTTTGTTCTCTCTTTTTGTACTTTTTGTTGAGACTGTCACATAAACAGATCACTGTCCAAGAGAATATTATATAGTAACATCATTATAGCTTGACTATGTGGTATATGGAGAGCCTCTGAGGTGGATGTGTGTTCTGTTTTTCTTCCCATAAAGTATGAGTTTTACCCTCATAATCTTACTTCAAGATAGATTTTCTCACTCTCACTTTGTATATTAGCAAACCAAACTTCAGATGACTCTGATATTTTGTGCAAGTTCATGGACAGGACCCTGAAGCAAGTTATTCTGGAGCTATTGTGCCTCCCTCCTACTGTTATTCTCCAGTACCTTGATTCAGAATCATACATAACCGAAGGCTCTTACCAGATCTCTCATTACTCTTGTCTTCCTCCTTCTAGGAGTATGAGTTCACCGTGTTGCCCAATGCCTACATGATCCACATGCCCCATGCCCCTAGTTTCGACATCACTAAGTTCCGTTCCAACAAGCAATATCGCATCTGTCTCAAAACCCTGAAGGAAGAATTTCAACAGGACATGTCCCGACGATATGGCTTTGCTGCCTTGAAATATCTCACGGCTGAGAACAATAGCTAGCACTACGAAGGCCACCACTAGGAAGAGACATGCCACAAGGGAAGAGCCACTTTCTGCCTGGGGCCCAGCCTTTGAAGACAAAATCCAACACTGCTTTTCTTTGGTTTGTTTCCCTTTGTCTCTTTGGCCCCACAAAGCTACTCTCTTCTGAAATCTTGAATAGAGACCCAGTCCACCATGGGTGCTTCCAGGATGGAACATAGAAGAGTGAAGCAAATGAAGAGTTTAACAACTTACCACAAAGCTACAGACCAAGTCAGTTTCTGGATGTTCCCATTGCGTTTTTAACAGTTATGAGTCAAACTTAGCTGTTGAGGATGTAAGAGCAATAAAGTTCCCTACAGTGGAAATTTAACCTGCCACCTAGCTGGGTAACCATGTGGATAGCAACACAAGGACCCAAACAAACATTTGGAGACTCTCATAGGGACATTATACATGCAGAGACCTGGAGGAGGGATGAATTGGTTATTATTTTCAAAATCACTCTTGTTTTGTTTTGAGTTGTTCGAATTTGTGGGATTTTGTTCATTTTGATATAGGAAACCAAGATTTTAAAATATTTAATCCTTAAAGCTCTAAAAGAAAAAAATCAACTCCCTCAATCAACACTCCTCAACAGCAGTGGCCCTGCAAAGACAAGCATCCTTGAAGAATGTTCATGTGTGGACAGCTTCCTTCATGATGAACACAGAGATCACCTGATTCCAAGTTTCCAGTCTCTAGATCCAGGGCTATGACAGGGGCTACAGAAATATGAGACCAAATACTATATGCAAGTCACATTTTCTATGGACCATCACCAAGTCACAAGGAAAGGGCTTCATGGAACTACTTCAGCATTCACAGAAGGTATGATTCCCTTCTCAGGCCTTTAGAAGAACTTGGACAGTTCACAGAAGTCCAATTTGAACTCTCATATGACTACACTGAAGCCACTGGAAGAAATGGGTCAGGTATCTCTGTGTTCTTCCCTGCCTCACTGTTGAAAGTGAGGAAGCTGATGAACTTAGTTTTCCCTCAGGACCTGTCCGAGTGTTGGCACACACCTCTTCATTGTGCATATGGAAGAAACACTGGACCCATTTTCTTTACTCTTCACTATTAATGTTGTGTTTACATTGATGAGAACAAGAGTTAATGGCATACCCTATACTGGGCTGTTTGTATTGAGTTGCCATGTGACCAGCAAAAGCTGGATTCAATAAATGAAATTCTTCCTCTTCTCTCTCCCACCCTTGTAAGAAGCCACATGACATACTTTGTCTAGAGGGCAAAGTCAAACCCATTCACAGCACCTCACACTCTCTGTTCTTACATCTCATCTTTCTCATTATTTAAAATGTCACCTTTGTTTCACTCCCAACTCAAGGAAAATTCAAATTTTCCATTGTGCATCTGTCTCACCATGTAGCCAGATGTTTTATATTTTAAGTATGCAAATTGTGGTAATCAGTATCATTCAATTGAATAGCCTGTCTTTAAGGGCTCTCTTGTCCTGTGGAGTCCCATGACAGTCCAATCAATAAGACTACTACCTGTGGTGTGTTCAAGGGTGTTCCCCTAGTTTAGTACAAAATTAAGAAAATTGTAATTAGAATTAATTGTCACAGAGGTACAGACAAGTTTGTGCCTTTATCCGTTACTTCTTTTGTTACAAGAACAATATCTGACAGAGTTTGAAAATCTAGTCCATCTTGGTAGGGAAGGCATGGTAGCAGGAACTTGAAGCAACTGATCACATTTCATCTGTAGTCAGGAAGCAGAAAAAGATAAGGGTCAGCACTCAGATTGCTTTCTCCTTTTTTGTTCAATCAGGGACCTCATCCAATGGGATGATCCTGTGTGTACTTAGAGTGGGACTTCTCACTTGAGTTAGGCTAATCTAAATAATCACTCAGATGTGTTTAGAGGTTGATTATCCTAGTTAAATAGATTATTCTAGATAACTAGGTGATTATCCTAGTTAATTTTAGATCCTATCAAGTTGACAATATTAACTATCACATTGTACATATATATATCATTATATATAACACATATGTAAAGGAAACATCTGCATGTATAGCATATATGCAGAATTTATCATTCTCAAGGTAATACATGAACATAATCTATGAATATCATTACAAAAAACCCCCACAAAATCAGTGACTTTCCCTAAACCCCATAATTGGCTATTTAATATTTTCCTTTAGCACTCACTGTTTTTTTTTTCCTTCCTTCACACACATGTATGTGCACCCAGAGGCACATATTAATTCTGCTGTTTTTCCTGAGATTATCTATTGCTAGCAGGTTGATCTGAAATAATCATTTCCAGCTACTTGAGTCAAGCTGAACATTAGCTGGTTACACTGGTTCCTCAGTATTAAGCATCACATTTTAATTCCCTAAAGCTTTTCTTTAAACATTTATCCTGGCACATGAATCAGACACAGATATCTTGTTTTCATTTGTATATTTATAGGAAGAGCCAATGACCATTTAATTTGCTAGTCTAGGGTCACTCCTGAGAATGATAGAAGATGCTACTTACTTTGGTATAATACCCATAAACTGAAAGACGATGAAACTGCATATACATAGAATCAATTAAAGCCAGAAGCTGACACTCCATACCAGCATGAGAAACATTCTATTTCCTCAAATATGGCTGTCTGGCACTGTCATTTAGTCGCATTTAAAACAAAAGTTAACTGATGCTCAAATTCAAACAAGAAGTTGGCAGCTGATGGAGATTGATGTACGATGTATGTGGATCCAACATAATGAATCTTCAACAGGTACCTGGGGAGTCACCACTTGGTGCTAGCACAGGCCCATATTAGGGAACAGGGCCATTTGAGACAAAGATGGTGATTCCTTTGTATCAGCTTCTTAAAAGCAAACAAACTTTGGGATGGGTTGTGCTCATGTCATGCCAATACTATCTTGACTTTCACTTGAAAGGAAGGGCAGGTTCTCTCATCAGCTCCATCATGCTCAATGTCCAGAACTGCATTTTAAATAATAATCCACTTTGTGCAAGAGCATTTTGTATATACTAGCACATTGAGTAGCTGGAGCAAAGCCAAGAAGTGGGTATTGCTGATTATCAGTGAGGAGATGCGGTATGTTCAAATTAAATAACTTCCCACCAATTCCCTGAGTACAGATATCATACAGCCAGATTTTAAACTCAATTCTAATTATTTAACCCAGAACTACATAACCTGCAATATGTTATTGCTTCCCCTAATAAGGAGCAGCTGAGTAAATAAGAACTGGAAGAGAAAACCTTCCTCCTTTAATATCTGTCCAGTAACACAGCCTGAGTAACAGACACTCATCCATTCTCCAAAGTTAGCTATGCCCATGGACTTCCTGAAGCTCATGTCAGTCTATAACCATATGCAAACAGGTGGGTTCAGTCTTAGGGGGTCAGAAATAGTCTCTTCAAATGATAAGCTTTCAGGTAAAAGGGTGGAGTTTTAAGTTCCTCCTTGAACCCCAATTTGTCAAGCTGCTTCAAAGTGGTATCTGTAAACATGTTGATCTCACTTATAGAGTGCATATTTACCAAGATTCATAGAGCTCTCTCCTGAAATAACAGACACTATGTTAATACTGTTTCTCTCAAAGTAAAGGCTGTGATTGTTATTACCAGGCCTTTAGGAAGCTTGATGTTGGTAGAGAAAGATGATAAAAAAAAAATACCCTTGCAGATGGAGTCTCTGCATACTACTAATGAAGATGGTAAGAGCTATGTTATCAAGCCCAAACTTCAGTGGTAGTTGGCACTGCTAGATCTTGACAGCCGTGCAGCCTTATGATTCCTTTACTTAGGTGGTAAGATATATTTCAGAAATTTTACATGTTCTCAAGATTCTATAGATAATAGTGAATGCTTTGGGATTAAAACAAAGTCAGACTGGCTTCAAAAACCAGTCCCTTTGCATTAATACATGCTGTGACTTTCTTTTGTGATGCTGCACGTACCCACTAGGTTTCTAGTCATCTTTTCATATAGTTCCTAGTGACATGATTTATTCTTGTTTTCTTTTAATCCTAAAGATAGATTTTTCAGTTTACTGGCACTATCATTTATAAAAATCTCACAATCATCTGAAGCCAACTCAAAGGTTCCAGGCTCATAGGATCTGATGCTGGAAACACTATAGCCTTTGTTTTCATACACTGAACAAAAAAATTATTCTCAAAAAGTGACTTTTTTATTTTTTAAGAATGGTATCTAAAAAAGGTAATGCACTTCTGATTATGGATTTGGTCATTGATTTGTTCCAACATTTCAAATGACCTCCAGTCACCATAACTTCTAAGATATAAGAATGTCATCAGTTCTGGTAAATAATTTCCCCATAGGGTCCACCGCTAATTTGGCTGCTTCACTACCAATGAATGAAAGTGGCTGTTGAAGTGCTTCGTGTGTATGAATGGATTGGGGTCTAAGCTTTTTGACATGGCTACTTAACATGGACATAAACTACACCAGATAGCATAGGCAATGCTGAATCTGGGACTGTGAAGCAAGGGAGAACAAATAAGCTGAGAGATAGACATGTTTTTAATCACAACTGCACCAAAAGCATAAGGCAAGAATTATCTCTATTATAAAGATAAAGGAACATTTGTTCAGAGGGGTTAACTAAGAGCCCTGAAAATCCATTCTAGGCCTCTACATCTCCCAGGTTTGTTCATTTGATTGTTCAGTTTCCTGGAGATTCAGATAAGCATTAAGTTATAAAATCATAATAAGAAAAATAGGCCGAGCCTCTAGGAACTGAGCTTATCTTTTACCCCCAGTGGTACTTCGTAACTCTTAATGTATGTAGGAATCACATTAAGGATCTCATCAACATCAAATTTACTCAGTAGACCCCAAGAGCCTGTATTTATAACAACCCCAATTGGTGCTGAGGCCTCTTCAGGCCTTTAACAGTAAGCTTGTTTCCAAACTTTTGTAGAACCCTGATATCAGGGCTGGCAATCTCTAGATACAATAGCAAATCACCAGCAAGTTGTCTTAATCACTGTTCGATTGCTGTGAAGAGTCACCATGACTATAACAACTCTTATAAATGAAAGCATTTAGTTGGGTCTACTTTCAGTTTCAAAGGTTTAGTCTATTGTCGTTATGTAGAAAGAATAGTGGTGCACAGGTAGACATGGTACTGGAAATAGACTCTGAGCCTGGCATGGGCTTCTGAAACACCAAATCTCACCCCTAATGACAATTTTCCTCCAACAAGGGCACACCTCCTAATCTTTTCAAATAATGCCACTCCCATGAGCCTATGAGAGCCATTTTTATTCAAACCAACATACAAAGAATTGATCTTTTTAAGATAGGTACTTGGATTCAGCAACTAGACTAGTTGGTAAGAATTCCAATATTCAAAAACAAGCATGAATAATACATAATCCCTGCCATCAAGGAGCCCCCATGCCATGATGACGACAATAGTAACAACATCTGAGTAGTGTTAGGAAGCCTGGATGAGGTGGGATCTGGAGAAGATGCCCTCACTCCAACCTGGAGATCATGGAAGGCTTCCTAAACATGTGATCCTTGTTTTGAAGAAAAAAGAAATATTCTGACAGTTGATAAAACGATGTGGAACACTTTAGTTAATACTGTTGCAATAGATATTAAGGTCATCTCACTAATGATGTGATAAGTCTCCATTCAAATATGCCAGATATACCTGGATATTTATATAGCCCAACAAGAAGACTAAGGTCAGCTAAGGAGATATATTAACAGTAAGGTGCTCTTGCTAAACCAACTTACAAGGAATTTTCTTTTCCAAATTAATTTTTTGTATTTATTGTATTACCATATGTAGCCATATTTTGATACAAATACACAAAGGTGTATGAGGAATGATTACATCCAAATCATTACCATAAGTATGACCACAGAATGCATCATTATCAGAGAGAAAGTTCTTAGCATACATTCTTTGCCTTTTCCCAAAGTCCAGTATGTCATCATCATCAACTGTCACCAGCCTGTTATACAGTAGTGTTTCCCAATGGGGCTTTTGCTGAAAACAGACCAAGAACTTTAACTCCAAAAGCAAAGAGTGAAGAACTTAATCACATATAAAGGGGTAGATTCACCTAAACTCATTTAGCTAGCTTCTCATTAAAACTGGACTCAAATGACGGAGTGAAGTAGACTTAGCCAAAAGGAAGGCAGAGATACTGTTCCACTGAAAAATGACTGA